TCCACACCGAAGCGGTCCTCGGCTCACGGGGGCGGCGTGCTGGCGGGCACACCGAAGCCGAAGCCCGGGGCGCCCCGACGACCCCGTCTTGGCCACGAAAACCTGGAGCGCTGGGTTCCTGGCCGTGGCCGAGAGGCGCTGGGGTCAGATCCTGAGACTGACCTCGCACGTGTGGCCGAAGACCCCGGTCCTCAGTCTCACATGGCCCCGGGCGGCTTGAGTCGGGCCTTCCCGCAGGTCTCTCCGACCCCGGTGTCGACTGCCTTATCCTCCTGCTGACTCACATTTTCAGGCAAAGCTTTACCCCTTTCGCCACCCGCAAGTCAAACAACCGGAATCCTCCTGCGGCCTGTAAGTCCCTGCTTCGAGATGTCCTGCTTCCCTGGGCCGCACCCATATCCATCTTCTGCGCATGGGGCGTTTGTCTTGCCTGTGACTCCTGTCTCCCTGAAACCTAGAACCCGGCTGTGGTCTGACTGCCGCCTGCGCGCTTTCTCAGGCCCTCTTGGGACAGAGCTTCCTCAGGCTATGGTCACTCATTGGCTCGGAACACACCTCCCTGAGACATTCCACACAGTGTGGTTTTCTGTTAACAGTGCAGAGACTGGGCGGGGAGGAGGCCGAGCTTGGGGGTTCTGGGCCACCAACCTCTGGAGCTGGGCAGAAGCTTCCGGCTGCTTGGGACGATCTTCCCCCTTTACAAGGCCACCCTGCTTACATCCACCATTGTCTTCTGCCTGGGAGGTGTTCGCCCTGCCCTTCAGCCTCCCTTGGAGGGAGCGAGGGTTCTTCCTGCCAGTCTGTGCCACATGAGAATGAGTATGGTAGGGCGTGGCCTGCAAGACACAGCAACTCCAGCTCAAACACAAGGGACAGGCAGGTCACCAAGGTGGGGCTCTTGACACGCCAAGGCTGGTATGCAGCCAAGCCCCAGGTGGGACTGCAGACCCTGGGAGCTCTGGGTTCGGCTCCACCTCCCTCCTCCCTCCCTCCCTCTGTCCTCAAATGCCTCACTCTCCTGCCAGCTTCAGGCTAGCTTGGTCAGTGTCACTCCAGTGTCTGTAGTGGCTGGTAGAGGGCATGGCCACTGGTGCAGGACTTCGGCCATCTTGGGCAAGTTCACAGAGACATCTGAGCAAACCTCTCAAGCGTTCTGCACTCCAACCTCCATCATTCCCTGGCCCTGTTTAGATGCCTAATGAGAAGAGGGGTGCTTGCCTGTCCTCTCGCGACTCTGACCTGGGGTGGTTGCTGGGGGCACACCAGCACATGGCATCTGGAAAGGACATGAACCATCGCAGAGCCACCCAGAAAAGTAGCAGCGGTGGGTCCCGTGACCACTGGCAGAGCTCCTCAACTCCCCCATCCTCCTCCCACGCTCCCCTGCATGGTGGCTGCTTCCCACTCAATCCCAGAAACCCCTGCCCAGACCCACCTACCTTTCTTGCCAGTCCTTGGCCTTGTCACTACCCCTGGATGACGGCCTGATGCAGTGAGAGGCCAGGTAGCTGGGCCTGCGTGAGCAACAGGAGCCATCTGTCCCTGTCCCTGAGCAGTGGCTCAGACCCACTTCCCAGGCTGGGGGCTCCCACCTCACGTTGTATCTAGCTCCACAGTAATAGGTCATGTGTCACCTTTTAAAATACTCTGTCCTGGCAGTGGAGCATAAGTCTTTTATGGTCAGTTTTTAATTTCTCTTGAGTAAACATCTATAAGTGGAATCACAGAGTCCTATGGTAAGCATGTGTTGAACATCCTAAGGAACCACCAAACAATTACGCAACATTCTGGTGTCTTTTTCCATCACTGCCAGCGCTTTCGAGAGTCCCAGTTGCTTTAACCCAGCGCTTGGTGTTTTCTGTCTCTTAAAGCAGTAGTCTCCAAACTTTGTGGCATCAGGGACCGGTTCCGTGGAAGAGTTTTTCCACGGGCCAGGACGGGGGAGGGATGATGCATTCTGTGCGTGGATATCCAGTTTTCTCAGCACCACTTATTGGAAAGACTATCCTTTTCTCAATGAGTATTCTTGGCACCTTTGTTTTAAAGAATCAGCTGGCTGTAGCTGTGTGGATTACTTTCTGTTCTGGTCCTTTGACCTCTGTGCAGCTTAGTACCATGCTGCATTGATCACTACATCTTAGCCTCCCACACTGTTCTTTTATTCCAGATTGCTTTGGCAATTCAGTGTCTTTTGTGGTTCCATACACATTTTAGGGTTTTCTTTTTCTGATGGAAGAAAGTGAAGAGACTACAAACAAATGAAAAGACATCCCATGCTCATGGATTGGGAGAATTAATGTTAAAATGATCATAACACCCAAAGTAATCTACAGATTCAATGCAAACCCTATCAAGACACCAACGTGTGTGCTCCCTGTGTGCCCCTGTCATCTGGAGGATGGGACTCAAGTCACTCATGCCTGAGCCATCTAGAGAGTGGGGGAAAGCACCCGTGGCCTCATCTGTGTGATACAGGGCCTCCTGCCACCAGTGCACCTGGGCCCTGCCTGCACCTCCCCCAATGTGGAGGAGCCCAGGGACCCCAGTGGTCACATCTTCAGACTGCAGGGCCATTTCCTCACTCTGGGAGGGTAGGCCAGGGCTGTCACCATCACACTTGGTTGAGGCAGCAATTAACAACTGTCCGGGTGAGGGCGGGAATGAGGGGACGCCTCAGTACAACATGGAACAATCGATAGGCACCAGACGCAACCACATTGAACTGACTCCTGCCTTGAAGACAGCTGTATCCATGAGCTTGTTGACTGTCAAAGCCACTTAGCTGCCACGTGGCCCGGGGAATATCACCTCTTATTTGTTCAAAAATAGGCTTCCTGGGGTAACGGCACACCCAGTATTGATGTGAAGTCACACTGGAAGCCACAGAGGCTGCCTGGCCTTTGTGAGATAATCACAGGGCTTGTGTGTTTCACGGCTGAAACCTACGCGCCCATCAATTTTTGTTGGGGGCTGGGCTGTTGATGAGGGCGATGGTGATGGTGCTGGCTGGCGGCCAAGTGAGATGATGACAGCTCTGGTCTGCCACCGCAAGATACAGGTGCAGGGCCTAGGGCCTCCTCGAACGAGAAAACAGCCCTGCAGGTTGAGAAGACCCAGCCACTGGGGCCTCTGGGCTCCTCAGATTGTGGGGGAGGTGCAGACAGAACCTGGGTGCACCAGGTGCTTGCAGGTGGCAGGAGGTCCCACGTCACAGATGTGGCTCCAACATGTGGCACCTCCTGAGGCACCTGGCAAGAGAGCTGTCAGGTGACTTAAAACGAATAATCTTCACAGGATGGCGCCATCCTGAGACCTGTCCACAGCCATCACAAGGTAGGAGCGACGGTCATGCCCGTGTACAGATGGGGAGACTGAGGCAAGACACTTGGGCCTGGGGCTGGAGCTCATGACCACCTGGAAGCCACCCACGTAGCCACCTTGGCAAGTGTGTACAAGGTCTGGGCAGCAATGGTAAGGAGGGTCGAGGGGGAGACTTCTTTGGGGAATTATGGCCCAAAAAGTCCCAGCTCCACTCCAGGGGAAGAGTGGGAGGGCAGGACCATGGGCCGCCCCGGGTCTCCCTGTGTGCCCCCTGCCATCTTGGGGACATGGGACTTGTGCCTTGCTCATGCCTGGGCCATTAGAAAGGGAGGAAGCCATGAAGAGGAAGGCAGGACACAGGAAGGGCCACAAGGCCCCAACTCATAAGTCACATGCAGGGGATCCCACGCTGTGTGCACCAGATCTTGTTTCCTGGGGCAGGAGGAGCCAGCTGCAGGGGCTGGGCTGGACCTGAGTCTCTTACAGGGCCTACCCATGAGGACGAGGGTGTGGATGGTGGTACATGCACGCCTGCCAGCACACCCAACTGTGAGCACAGACAGGAGGGCCACAGCAGTTGTCTCAAGGTCAGTCCGTATCTCCCAGGATGGGCTCAAGGATGCATGGACAGAAAGAGCTGGGAAGGGTGTCGTTTAGGGAACAGTGAGGGCAGGGAGGCCGAGGGACCGGG